CCCCCCCCCCCCTCCCCCTCTTCTTTATTAACCCCCCCCTCATTTCTCTCCCTCGCAGCCGACATCCCCCCCTCCCCGGGGAACATCCCAGCCACTCACCCCCTCCTGGTTCGCCACGCAGACCACGGCTCCCTGGCCTTGGGGGGGGGCTCGTCGGGGGCCCGCCTGGCGCAGGGGATGGGGCGCAGCCAGCGCACGCTGCGGCAGCTGACGGCCAACACGGGGCACACCATCCACGTGCATTACCCCGGCACCCGGCAGCCCAACCCCCCCCTCATCCTGCAGAGGTGAGCCGCCCTTCGGGGTGTCCCCCTCCCCACCTCCTGTCACCTGGGACATCACCCTGGTGGCCCCTCCGTTCCCCTCCGTGTCATCGCGGTGTCCCCTCGTGTCACCCCAGTGTCCACTGATTCCCCCTCGGTGGCACCCCATGGCTCCCGGTGTCCCCTTGTGTCACCCTGGTGTCAGCCCAGCATCCTCTGATTTCCCCTTGGTGGCACCCCGTGGCTCCTGGTGTCCCCGTGCATCACCCTGATGTGACCCCAGTGTCCCCTGCTTTCCCCTTGGTGGCACCCCATGGCTGCTGGTGTCCCTTGTGTCACCCTCATGTCACCCCACTGTTCCCTGATTTCCTCTTGGTGGCACCCCATGGCTCCTGGTGTCCCCTTGCGTCACCCTGGTGTCAGCCCAGTGTCCCCTTCTGTCATCTCATTGTCCCCTGCTTTCCCCTTGGTGGCACCCCATGGCTCCTGGTGTCCCTTGTGTCACGCTTATGTCACCCTGGTGGCCCCTGGTGCCCCTTGTTGTCACACAGGTGACCCCTGATGGTCCTTTGTCCCCTCCCCCACCTTGTCCCCATGAGCATCCCTGGTTCCTCCATTCCCCTCCACCTTGGTTCCCACGTCCCATCGTGTGTCCCCATGTCCCAGTATGTCCCAACATGTGTCCAAATGTCTCAACACATGTCCAAATGTCCCAACACGTGTCCCCACGTCCCAACACGTGTCCCCACGTCCCAGTATGTCCCAACATGTGTCCCCATGTCCCAACATGTGTCCAAATGTCCCAGCACGTGTCCCTATGTCCCAGTGCGTCCCAACATGTGTCCCTATGACCCAACACGTGTCCCATGTTCTAACGTGTGTCCCCATGTCCCAGTATGTCCGAACGTGTGTCCAAATGTCCCAACACGTGTCTCCATGTCTCAACACGTGTCCCCACATCCCAGTGTGTATCCCCGTGTCCCAACACATGTCCCCATGTCCCAACACGTGTCCCCATATTCCAGTGTGTCCCAACACGTGTCCTCATGTCCCAACATGTGTCCAAATGTCTCAACACGTGTCCCCACGTCCCAATGTGTGTCCCCACGTCCCAGTGTGTCTCAACACGTGTCCCCACGTCCCAACACGTGTCCCCCTGCGCCCCTCCCCCTCGCTCCCTCCTCCTCCCTACGCCCCCTCCCATCCCCAGCATCCCCCCGCCCCCCCTGTGTGACTCCCCCCCACCCCCTCACCGTCCCCACATTGTCCCCGTGTCCCCGCAGGCTGCTGGGCCCATCGGCGGCAGCCGACATCCTGCAGCTGAGCAGCAGCCTGCCGCTGCAGAGCCGGGGCCGGGCCCGCCTGCTGGTGGGCAACGAGGACGTGCACATCATCGCCCGCTCCGACGATGAGCTGCTGGATGACTTCTTCCATGAGCAGGGACCTACGGGCAGCCAGGCAGGCGAGTGGGGGAGGGGACGCAGGGGGTGGGGGGGGGAGGGGTCGGGAGGGGTGGGGTCAGGAGGTGGGGGGGGGTCAATGGGATGGGGAGGAGTCAGGAGGAGGGGGAGGGGTTAAGGGGAGGGATGGGTTGGGAAGTGGGAAATGAAGGTCAGAAGAATGAATGAATGGGATGGAGGTGGGGCTAGAGGGTAAGGGGCGTGGCCAGAGTATGGGGGCGTGGTCTTGAGGGGTGTGGTCAGTGGGTGTGGACAGCGAGGGGGTGGGGTCAGGAAGGGGAGGGGTCAGCACCTGTGGGAGGTGCAGGGCTATAGGAGAGAGAAGGGGGCGTGGCCATGGTCCAGGGGGCGTGGTCACGATGGGTGTGGTTGGTGGGCGTGGCCGAAGTGGAGGGGTGGGGTCAGCAGGGGAAGCATCAGCCTTTATGGTCTACGCAGGGCTATAGGAGAGAGAAAAGGGGCGTGGCCATGACCTATGGGGCGTGGTCAGAATGCAGGGGGCGTGGCTACAGTGGGTGTGGTCAGTGGGCGTGGCCAGAGTGGAGGGGTGGGGTCAGGAGATGAGTTAGTCCTTATGGGAATGCAAAGCTATGGGAGAGGGGCGTGGGGGGCGTGGCCAGAATGTAAGGGGCGTGGCCATAGTCATGGGGGCGTGATCACGAAGGGTGTGGTCAGTGGGCGTGGCCAGAGTTGGGTGGTGGGATTAGGAGGGAAAAGTGAGCAGAAGAATGAATGGGGTGGGGGCGATGCTAGAATGTTAGGGGCGTGGCCATGTAGCAGGGGGCATGGCTAGATGTTGAGGGGCGTCGCCATAGAGCAGGGGTGTGGCCATGGAGCAGGGGGCGTGGCTAGATGGTGAGGGGCGTGGCCATAGAGCAGTGGGCGTGGCCATGGAGCAGGGGGCGTGGCTAGAGGGTGAGGGGCGTGGCCTCGCTGAGTTGCGGCATTGAGGGCTTAAGGATGAAACCGGCCTGGGGGGCGTGGCTTAACAGGGGGCGTGGTTTTCCGCGGGGGCGTGGCTCCGTGCTGACCACGCCCCCCCCTCCGACGCCCCGCCCCCTGCAGGCACGCTGTCCTCCATCCCCACGGCGCTGACGCGGTGGACGGAGGAGTGCAAAGTGTTGGATGCTGAGAGCATGCACGACTGCGTCTCGGGTGAGGGGCTCTGTCCCCACCGTGTCCCCCCCCCAGGGGTCCCCATATGTCCCCCCCCTCCCGCCATACCCCCCAGTGCCCTATATGCCCCCCCAATGCCCCATATGCCCCCCTAACCGCAGCACCATCAACGCTGCCCCCATTGCAATACAGAGGGTGGCAGCTCCCCAGGTGTCCCCTCGTGTCCCCAAATGTCCCCGAGGTGTCCCCATACCCCTCAACCCCCTATATTTCCCCCTCCCTCCCCAGTGCCCCACGCGTCCCATCAGTGCCCCACATTTCC